GGGAAAGAGAGATCCTGAGTGTCTGGGGAATTCAGTTTATATGTCATTCTTAGTTTCTATGAATTACAGTTTAAAGACTTTGTTTACCTGTTTTCCTTTGATGGTATGGGTATGCAGCGTGAAAGTTGTGCTAGCAATCTCAACCTTAGTTCTACAGATTTCTCACAGTTTGGCCACAGGATAAAAATAGTTCGCTTAATTTTGTGTATGGTATGACTTAAAGACTCTGTTTTCCTGTTATGGTATGGGTAAATGGTTTATTAACAATCCCACCAGGAATCTTCCTTTGTTCTGGCAGGCTTTGAATATAGCTTGGTTTAACATTTAGTTCTTATGTCTCTTCCCTACATCACAACCACAGTAATTTCCTAGGGGCGGGGACCAGACTGAAGCTGGGGCAATCACAATACCCCCACCTGGCCATAGTGATTGGCTCAAGAGTGGGCAAAAGTTCTTCCCTGGGATTTTCTCAGCTGGATCTGGGAGAAAGATCTTTCCTTTCTGATGGCAAAGCTAAGAAGATGTGAGCCCTGGGCCGCCAACGGCCAGATACCTCACATGTGGAAGATGCCAATCTGCAATATGAGAATGAAGTCAACATGCAGAGAAAAACAGACAAGAAGACAATAAGAGAATTTTGATGGTATTCAACTGTGGTTCCAGTCCCTAAAATATCAAAGCTGTTTGTTTTCTTCTTCAAATTTCGTGTAATGATCTCTTTAGTTTTGCGAGTTACTCAAGGTTCTTCAATAACACTCTTTTTCCTTAAGCAAGCTCAAGATAGGTTTCCAACATTTGCCACAGAAGATGCAAGGATGACTTTAGGAACACCAAAGTGCAAGGATGACTTTAGGAACACCAAAGTGAGCACTTGGCACTTCGTAGGTGACCTGAAAATGGTAAACAGAGAAAAAAAGAAGGGAAGAAATGGAGGGAGGGGGAAGCTGGGTGGTGGCAGCAGCAAAGAAAGGACAGAGAAGAGGTACTGTGCAGTAAGCAGGAAATGACTAATCAGAGGTAGAGAATGAGTGAAAGATGCTGGCTCTCAGACATCAAGCTTAGGGGATCATGAGTATGGTCTTGGTCTGAACTGAAAGAGGACCATCAGGAGAAGCTAGTGTAGGGGGAGAAGACACTGTTTGTTTTTTACATATCGATGCTGTGAGAGAGTCCCTTCATTGTAGGGATAAACTCCCTCTTCCGTGCCCAGTCCTATTTTAACCACCCCAGTCAGACTCCCAAGCCATGTACCTGGAACATAGTTGGTGGGACTCAATGAATGTTAGTTAGCTGAACGAATCAAGAAGAATGGCCAGTCAAATCTGGACTCTTAGGAAATGGCAACAACTAGCGGAAAGGCAAACAAGCAAGTAAAGGATATAGAATTGATGTGTTCAAAAAAGTCAATCAACCTAATATCTTACATTATAACATATTTACATTCACAAAATCTTTACATTTTACAAACATCAGAGGAATATTTCAAGAAGGAAGTATCTGTCAGCTGTCAAATGTAAAAAGTGATAAATGATGAGAGAGAAAAGGCTGAATTTAGCAGTGAGGACATAACTCTGGGACCATAACTTAGAGATGAAAAGGCTGAGAAGCTATAGAATTAATAATGGAGTATTAAGAATTAATACCTCTGAGCACCTACTATGTGCCAGGTATTACATGAGTTGCTTGGTTAGAGAACTACAGTCCTGTGAGGTTTAGCTGTGAAAGGACAGGAACCTAAAATTAGCTACTGGCTACTGTAGAGTCAGGTGGGGTTTCTTAAGGATAAGGAAGGCCTAAGCATCATTTACAGGGTGAGAAGAAGGAACCTGGCAAATGAAAGAAAGGTAACAAAAGAAAAGCTCAGGAGATTATAACAAAGTGAAGGGATTAGATTTAGAAAAAGAGAAAGTTGAACAGGAGAAATGAAGAAGTACTAAATGGAGGCAAATATATAGGAGGTGAGTGGGCTGCAGAATGAGAGCACCCTGATCATGCCAGGCTGTCTGCTAAGAGGTTAAGGAAAAATGAGTTATTTAGAGTTGCGTGAGTGAACCCTGAGGTGAAATGAGTAACTTATTACCACCACGCACATGCTCAGCCAACTTTTAAACAGTGGCTATTCCAAATAAACTCATTAAATATCTGAAATTCTCACTCTTTTAATATTATATATCAAGGACTTAAATGCGCACATGGCTCACCAACCTTGTGACAGATTCTAGGATAGACTTGACTTTAGATAGTCCTTCTTTACCAAAATACACCACTGTGAGATGAATCCTCTTGTCCTGATGAATACATACATCCCTAACAGAATTGAAAAATAAAGTTCATTCAAGAAAATGAGGCTCTACTCATTCAGAAAGCAATCACATGAAGCTTTAACAAGAAATTGAACTAGGCATTACTAACTTAAAATAAAATTACATTAATTTTTTTAATTAAATATAAAAGTGGTAATATTGCTGCATTATTAAAGGCATCAGAACAAATAAATAATAACGTATGTATATGTCTAAATGAGTGCAACGCTCAGAGGGCCATGGAAGCAGTCTAACAATGTTGCCAAATTTCAAAATATTTTGGGAACTTTGGCTTTGGTGTTGCCTTCAGAAGCAAATTATAAGCTATTCAAGGAAATACGTCCAATCAGTTCAGAACCAAATAAATAAATATTCATGTTTTGATTCAAGAGTTATTTTGTCTTCAGACTGGCTAGTGCCAGAAATTATACAAATCATCAAGGAATAAATATTTGCCAGGAATGAGATTACTCACTGTAAAGAATAATGTAGCATCTGAAGGAAATTCCAAGAAAGGCAATAAAAATATGCTTTAGAAAATCAGATCCAAGCAAGCTGTTTCAAGCAGGCAAAACTCATTTGGAAGCTTGATTTTTAGATATTCTGTTATAGAAGAGTATTAACTAACTTTTAAATCCAACAATTTCAATTTGAGAATAAAGATGGGTTTCAAAGCATTAAAACTAGCATATTAAAGTATTTAAAACATGGCAACTGTTAAAATAAAAAAGGAAAACTTTCTTCAAATAGTTATTCTAATATGTAGTTAAGTCTTTAACACTTTAGCATTTTAAAATATCCAAATTTAATTATTTAAAAAATGGTTAGTCTCTGCTTGCCACAATGGACTTTCTCTCATTTTTTTAGCTGAATGTTTATATTTCTAGAATTTATTTCAACTTTAAAATTCAATTTTTTCTCAAGGGACTTTTCTGAGGAGATAGCAATGTTCTATATCTTGATTAGGGAGGTGGATACATGAGTATACATTTTATCAAAAGTCATGAAATCTGTATCCCTACAATATGTGAATTTTACTGTATCTAAGTTATGCCTCAATAAAGTTATTTTTAAACATTCAATTTGCCCTAACATGAATTTGTACATAATTATAAAGGTAATCAAATTCAGTTTCTCATAGCTGTCACCCTCAATTTACTTCATAGTTCAAACTGTCAATAACACAATATACTATACATGCTTTGAGAAAAAAGAGAATATCAAAAAAGGAAGTTCTCCGAGGCCTATAAAATTACCCTGTAATTCTAAGTATTCTACTCGATGAAGCTGAATTAAGTAAATCTGCATGAACTGTGATTTTTTTCCAGGCGCACTTAGCCAAATCATTAAGCCCTGAGAGTTACCTGAAGTTCTGCATAAACTGCACAAATGCTTCAGTTCTTTCAGCAAGTGGCACAATGATATTAATAATTGATCTACTAATGTCAATCATCTCGCTCTTCACTTTCATGAGAGGTCCAAAAGGGCGGAAGAGGGTCACATGTCTATATTCCATAAGGTCTGCTTTCTTAAAAAACAGTTCATACTGTGTGCCCTTATCTCTCTCGGTGCGATAATAACCTAAAGGAAAGAGTTTTTTTGTGACGGACAAAAGATGTCGCCATGTCAAAGTTTACAAATTCAATGTGAATACTAATTTTACTTAAAGATCAAAAGTATGAAACCAGATTTGTAGGGTTTTCATTTGTTTGTGAAAATATTTATCCCCACTGTATAGTCAGTAACAACTATTTCTTTAAAAGAAGTTTTAAAAAAAAGTTTGGTTAAATCCATAACATATGCTCCAAATGACAACTACTCCTATTCATATATGATTTTTTTAATAGTACAGCCTATTAGCACAGTAACCTTATGATGAAAATAAAGAACTTAGATCTAGCAATATTAAATTCTAGACCTGAGAGTCAAAACTTCTATTGCTCCATTCAGCTCAATAAAAATGTGTTATTCACTGGCGGTATAAAGAGGGCTACATGGTCCCAGTTGTGAGGTAAGATCAGTTTAGTGACAGAGGCAGAAAAATAAAGAAATAACAATATCGTGATACATATGTGTGTGCACACATAGACACACTGAATACAGTGAAGTCAGACAAAGAAAAATTAGTGTAGATTTAAATACGGTGATTTGAGGTGTCTTTGGGAGAAAAGAATGGAAGTCTTCTGGGCAAGCTGATTTTTAGTGTGACACTCAGGAGAAAGTTTAGACTTACAGATATGTGAGTCACTCTGTCAATATCTGGGAATAAAATGGAGAACACGATAGACCTGGTCCCACTTCTCCCGAGGCTTACAGTCAAGCAGGAAGTACAAATCAGGAAACGGGCAATGCCATATGACAGGCCCTGTGAGAGGGGGACACAGGGCAGAGGCTGCAAGAGCACAAAGGAAGCACTGCTATCTTAGACTTGTAGGTTGGAGACGACTTCCCAGAAGTGTCATCTAAGATGTCTGGAAAGAAGAATAGGAGTTGTTCAGTTCTTGTCAGTAATTACTTTTTTGGTGAGGGGAGTGGCACAGTGGAGGAAAAGTGAGGGACAAAATATGGTCCATGCAGAGAAAAAATCCTGTAAGTGACAGAATCCAAGGAGAGTTAAAAGCAGAAGTTGTAGAATACAAAACTGGCATTGGCTCCTTTCTTTTCAGGCAGATGTGAAGATATTTTACAAGTTACATAGTTATCTCGCTTCTTCTACAGCTTTTGATTCTGCCATAAGCTACAAACATAGAGTGAAAAGACAAAAAGCTGAGCTTGAAGAAGAATTAAAAGAGCTTTGAGAGAAACAACCTATTAAAAATGGCAGAGAGTGACAGCAGAAAAAAGGTGGCTACTGGGAGAAGCCCATTGAAATGCCACAGAAAAGCATGATGCTCTCCCTGATGGCCTCCAAAGGCCTCAAATTGTTATATTACAATACAGCAAGTGATATCCATGATGATTCAAGGTCAAAAAAAACCACACGAGGTATAATGTTAATAGAATCAAGCAAAAGAACTTTTAAGAAAGATTTCTATCTAAAATGGTTTTAAGCCTGCAATTAAATATCTGACAGAGGATATCAAGATGGAGATGGGTGGAGATCTATAATTATTCCTGTTTATATCAATCAACAAATATCTCGAATTTATTGCAGTATTCCTAAACTTTTGAGTTACGTCCCATTCCTGACGTATAAAAATCCCATGCCCTTTCTGCAGTTTGTATTAGGAAAATAGGTTCTTTACTTTTCCAAATTCCAAATATGCTTTTAAAACTATGTATGCTTCCTTGATGTTCTGACATGTGCTTTTCCTCCCTCTAAAATACAGAATTAACCTCTAATCTGTGAAATTAGGTTCTTCTTTTCTTAATCAAATAGTTTTCAAATCTTGAGCCTTAGTTCATACATTTTTAAAAATATAAAAAAGGAACATCAAGACCAGGTAAGAGTGGAATGCAAAATGTACACATGTAAATACACAAACAGCCCTAAGAACCTTCAACTTGGGTATTATTCTTCTGTATAAACTTAGATTCATTCTATTTCCCAGATTCATTCTTATTCTCTACTTTATTACAATCACACTACAGTTTTCAAAAGGCCACTTCAAATTCTTGGTAGAACAAAACAGGTAAAAATTTAAATGTTTTAATATTGTGGAAAATGACTGACTTATATTACCAGCATACAAGGGCATATTGTCACACTAACATATGAACCAACAAATTTTTCGCATTACCTTCTATGAAGTCATTTTCATTAAATATCAGTTTTTCTCCAAGGGGACCATCCTCATCTTCCTGTTCATCATCTTCATCAGGATTATTAATGACCTCCAATCCAGCTTCAATAACTTCTACCAATTCATCTCGCTTGTCTTTTCTAACTGGCTTTTCCTCAGGATGGCGAGTGAGACCCATTTCCAACTGGAACACTTTCATTAAGGTGAAACTTTCAAAGGGAATGACCCCATACTCACTAGGTAGTTTGGCTCCTGTGCTAACTTCAGCTTTGTCAATTTGGGAATGAAGAAACTCTAAAAGATCACTAGGTGCTTGTTCTTTGTTGCCTTGATAGCCTATGCCATTAGCCCCTACGTTTTTTCTTTCTTGCAATGATCTCATCTTCTCACTCATTTCTTGTAATTCTTGTTTTAGTTGGGCAATTTGGCGCTTCAGACTGGTTGCCCTGGTTTGATAATGTTCTTCTTGCTCCTGCAATAGGGCTTGATAATATTCTCTACCATAATTTTCCCCAACGACCCCAGGAAGAGATGCATTTCCATCAGTCTGGGGGGCACATTCCAGAAGGTACAAAAATAATACCAAACTGCAGAGTAAAGCAAGACCCAACAACAGCCAATGAGTCCGGGTCTGAAGAATCAATCCTCTTCTAGGCATTCTTATCAATGTGGACTTGTGTAATGAGATAAGTTCTTTGTTTGTTCATACCTTTAGCAAAAGGTTATCAAAAATTAAAAACAAAACCAGGATTTCCATAAAAGGTACCAAAACAAATTCTGCTGTAGCTTAAAAAATTTCTTCCTTCACAGTCAAGACTACTTGCAGAAATGAGAAAGTACACATCTTCCTGTATTGTTACCGTGATATCCAGAAGAAATCTGATCTACAGAATCAGATAAAATTCCATTACATGGGTGGTGACCTTTCTGTAAGAAACAAATTAGAATCAATGAGAATTTTGTTTCCTTATGTACATCAAATTGTTGGCAGTGTAAACTTAGCTATGTGACCATTATATGTAGAGCAGCATGAGAGGCGCTAATAAAATTGAGAATATTCAGTAAATTCTTGGAAAAACTATTAAGAAAAAATCTTACAAAATACTAAAATATCACATGCAATATACTTTTCCCCCCACACATAATACTATTAAACCAGAAGGTCTACATATCCATAATCTCTTGAATGAATCAAAGAAACATTAAAGTTCTATTTAGCATACTTTGTGTTACATAGACTCTACTGTATTCTAATTATTTAAAAATTCTACTGCTCATAGCTCTTTATTAACATAATATTTTGATTAATACATCATCTCCCACCTACTGCATATCACCATTTGGGAAATGAGTTTCTATAAATTGTTATATTAAGAATGGCTTACTAGAAAGATGTGTTCTTTCAGTTTATTCAATTCAAGCATTCTATTTCACTGATTTATATGGCTCAACTCGGTCACACTGAGAGCCTTACAATTAAGTGGAAGGAAAAATTATTTCAAAAGGTCAGACTTCTGGAAAACACATTAAGAAACATTTTTACATCCGAAGTCCTCCAATAGTTTATTTGAGCATTAGATCACATAATTCTTTTGACCATATTTCACAGCAACAGATTTCCTACAAGCCTGGGAAGGTTTAGAGTCGACATAAAGAAAAACACAAACATTTTAATGTTTATTTGCAGGGTAAATAATTACAAACCTTTTATAAATTTACAAACATACATGGTTTCATACCACAGTTAGTTGTGTGAGCTCTTCCCTGTTTCTTTCTGAACTAAGAATTCTCTTTTGTTTTCATTTAAAAATTTTCAATTACAATTGATGTTCGATTATTACTTTGTTAGTTTCAGTGTAAAGCAAATGGTTAGAAGTTTATATAATTTACAAAGTGATTCCCCTGAATAGTCTACTACCCACCTGGCACTATACATAGTTATTACAGTATTATTGACTATATTCCCTATGCTGCACTTTATATCCCCTTGACTATTTTGTAACTACCAATTTGTACTTCTTAGTCCCTTCACCATCCTCCCAATCTCCTTCCCATCCAGCAACCATCAGGTTCTCTATGTCTATGAGTCTGTTCCTGTTTTGTTTTGTTCTTTAGAATGCACATATGTGAGATCATATGAAATTTGTCTTTCTCTGTCTGACTTATTTCACTCAATGAAATACCCGACAGGCCCATCCACGTTGTTGCACATGGTTAAGATTTCATTCTTTTTTATGGCTGAGTGATATTCCATTGTATACATGTACCACATCTTCTTTATCCAACTGTCAGCTGACAGGCATTAGGCTGCTTTCCATATCTTGGCTATTGTAAATAGTGTTGCGATAAACGTAGGGGTGCATACATCTTTTCAAATCAATGTTAATAAATTTCTTCAGATAAATATCCAGAAGTAGAATTGCTGGGACATATGGTAGTTCTATTTTTAATTTTTTGAGGAACCTCCATACTGTTTTCCATAGTGGCTGCACCAATTTGAAATCCCACCAACAGCACACAAGGGTTCCCTTTTCTCCACATCCTTGCTGACCCTTGTTGTTTGTTGACTTACTATGATAGCCATTTTGACAGACAGGTGTGAATATATCTATCTCACTGTGGTTTTAATTTGCATTTATCTGATGATTAGTGACATTGAACATTTCTTCGTATGTCTATTGGCCATCTGTATGTCCCTTTGAAGAAATGTCTATTTAGGTCCTCTGCCCACTTTTTAATTGGATTGTTAGGTTTTATTTTTGGTGTGAAGTTGCATGAGTCCTATATAAATTTTGGATATTAAGTCCCTATCAGATGTATCATTGGTGAATATCTTCTCCTATTCACTAGGTTGTCTTTTCATTTTGTTGATCGTTTCCTTTGCTGTGCAAAAACTTTTTAGTTTGATGTAGTCTCATCTCGTTATCTCTTCTTTTGTTTTCCTTGCCCAAGGAGATATAGCAGAAAAAATATATATATTTGAGAGCAATGTCAGAGAGTTTACTGCCTATGTTTTCTTCTGGGAGTTTTGTGGTTTTAGGAATTACATTATAGTCTTTAATCCATTTTGAGTTTATTCTTGTATATGGTGTAAGAAGGTGGTCTAATTTCATTTCTTTGCTTGTATTTGTACAGTTTTCCCAACACCATTTACTGAATAGGTTGCCTTTACCCCACTGTATATTCTTTCCTATTTTTAATAATCTGTCATAGATTAATTGACTGTATAGGTGTGGGTTTTTTTCTGGGCTATTTTGTTCCACTGATCTATGTGTCTGTTTTTATGTGAGTATCATGGTGTTTTGATTACTATAGCCTTGCAATATACTTTGATATCAGGTAGTATGATACCTCCAACTTGTTCCTCATTCTTAAGATTGTTGTGGCTATTTGGAATCTTTTGTGGTTCCATATAAATTTTAGGATTATTTGTTCTAGTTCTGTAAAAGATGTCACTGGTATTTTTTTTCAGTGTATATTCTCCTCCCCCCCACCCCTGGTTTTGTTGAAATATAATAGACAATTAGTTGCTTGTATTAACATTGTACAATTCAATGAGTTTTTTTTTCAATTATAGTTGGCACAAATACACCGGTTTCAGTTGTACAGCATAGTGATCAGAGATCCACATAACTCATGAAGCGATCACCCTACTAAATCTAGCACCCTTCTTCCCTCTTACATATTACACGTTATTAACCATGCTAAACTTTACATTTCTGTCTATTCTGCAACTATTTGTGCCTCTTAATCCCTTTGCTATTTTTGTCGTCCACCCCAACCCCCCTCCCATCTAGTAGCCCTCAAAATATTCTCTATATCTGAGTTTGTTTTTGTTTTTTTTCTTGTTGTTCTTTAGATTCCACATGTACATAAAATCATGTGATATTTGTCTTTCTCTATCTGACTAATTTCATTTAGCACAATACTCTCTATGTCCATCAAGGCAGTATCTTTTTCCATCCCCTTCCTTTTAGTCTCTGTGTGTCTTTAATCTCAAGTGAGTCTCTTACAGGCAACACATGTAGGGGTCTTATTTTTGTGTCCATTCAGCCACCCTATCTTTTGGTTGGAACACTTAATTCTTTTCCATTTGAGGTACCTGTTGATAGGAATGTAGTTATTACCATTCCCTATTCATGTTTTTGATAAATGTTTTTTCTTCTTACAGAAGTCCCTCCAACATTTCCTGCAATATCGGCTTATACAGTCATGAAATTCCTTTTGCTTATTTTTGTCTGGAAAGTTCTTTATCTGTCCTTTGATTTTAAATGATAGCTTTGTTGGATAAAGTATTCTTGGTTGTAGATCATGCATTTTCATCACTTTGAGTATTTTGTGCCAAGCCCTTCTGACCTGCAAAGTTTCTTCTGAGAAATCAGCTGCCAGTATTACGGGTGCTCCCTTGTAGGTAACTAACTGCTTTTCTCTTGCTACTGTTAAGATTCTCTTTGTATTTAACCTTTAGCATTTTAATAATGTGTCTTGGTGTGGGCCTCCTTGGGACTCTCTAAGCTTTCTGGGGTTGTATGTCTATCTTTCACTAGGGTAGGGAAGTTTTCCATCATTATTTCTTCAAATAGCTCTTCAATGTCTTGTTTTCCTGCTGGTACCCCTATAACACAGATATTTTTACATTTAATAGTGTCCCATAGAGTCCTTAAATTATTATTATAGCCTTGGCTTCTTTTTTCTTGTCATTCTGATTGAGTGTCCGTGGCTTCTCCATCTTCCATGTAGTTAGCTCAATCCTCTTCTTCGCTCTGCTTACTGCATTTAATATGCTTTTCATCTCAGATTATGTGTTTCTCATTTCCGACTGGTTCCCCTTTATAATTTCCGTTTCCATTTTTTTTTTTATCTCTTTGTTAAAGTTCTCACTGAATTCATCTACACTTCCCCTAAGTTCACTGAGCATCTTTATAACTAGTATTTTGAACTCTGCATCTGTTCGATTGCTCAACTCTATTATTCCTGGATCTCTGTTCTGCTCTCTCATATGGTTTCTGCTTGTCTTCCCATTTTGGCTACCTTTCTCTGTTTCTATGTACTAAGCAAAGTTCCTAAGTCTCCTGGTCTTATTAGTGCAGCTTTGTGAAGTAGGTGTCCAGTGACACAGGCCTGAGAGGGGTTCAGCTCTAGGCCAAATTTAGCCACAGCCTGTGACTCTCCAGGACCACGTGTTAAGATTCAGCAAGCAATCCACAGATGCTGTGCTTATAGTTGCCTCAAGAAGCCATGCCAGAAACTGAGGTCAGTTTGCCACCAGTGTTAAGTCTTGGCGCTGCTCAGCAAGGAGCAACTAACTGACTAGCCAATGATACACCTGGATGTGGCTTGGGTGGGGCTGCAAGTTGGGGGAGGTGGAGTTTCAGGGGCTCTTTTGGGCGGAGTGATCTCTGTTATCCAGTTCGATGATGTCTCTACTATGGTGGCACTGAGTTTGTGCACGGGGAGCGGGGAGGGCTCAACAGAGGAACAATGGATACTGCCGGCACCAGTCAGTGCTGGTGCTCGGAGTGAGCAGGTCGATCACCACGAAAATCCACTTGAGGACGCGGCCCCTTTAAGAGGTGTCTGCAGCTGCTGCTGCCGCAGCCTCTATCTCACTCAGCTGCTCCAACGAAGCAGCCTCATGTCTTCACCCCCTCCTACCTTCTACCACCCAGGTTGATTAATTATTTCTCTCCCTAGTTGTAGTGCTTCTGTTCCTCTAGATCCCAGGCGACTTTCCTTGCTGTTTGCTCCTTGTTTCTGTCTCAACTTTGATTTGGTAGCAAGAAGGATGAACAGAGCCTCTATCATCTACGCCATTTTTTCCTCCACACTTGTCACTGGTATTTTGATAGAGATTGAACTGAATCTATAAGACTGCTTTGGGTAGTATGGACATTTTAACAATATTAATTCTTCCTATCCATGAGCAC